CAGGACCATATCCTTTGCGTTAAGCTGGGAACTTTCCCGCACGCGACGTATAGCCCAGACATGGCGCCTTCCGATTACTACCTATTCCGGTCGCTGCAGCATTTGGCTGATTACACATTTCGTGAGATTTGAAGAGATACGAAAATGCATTGATGACTTTATCGCTTCGAAGCCGGTGAGCTTCTGTCGTCAAGGAATTCGCAAGCTACTCGAAAGATGGCAAAAGGTCGTTGATGCAAACGGGGAATATTTCGCTGATTTTTTTTGTTTGTTTTTTGAATAAAGATTGAATTTTACAAAAAAAAGCTCAGAACTTTTTTGTACACCTAATATTTAGAAGCAGGATTTGCCATATATTTTAAAATTATGGGTTTTTATTTTACGTATGGATTTTTTATCATATGGATTTTTATGTATTGTTTACGTGATATTTACATGAATCTTTTTATAAACAATACAAACATGTAAATTATTATAAATTATATATAACACAAAATATAATATAAATTATATATGGATAATACAAAGTATAATATAGAAAAATGTAATTAAGTTTTAAAATTGTTAATATATTTGATTTTATCATGTGATGTATTAATATTAAAAATATATAACATTAAAAATAAAAAAAATTATAGTGAATGATATATCAAATTTTCATTATATTTTATATCAGTTTATATAAAAATATCAATTTATTTTCTAATTAATTTTATATCACGTATGTATTTATTACACAATTATATTTAAACAAAATGTGTATACACATATAAAAATATTATACATATATAAACGAATTATGAATCTTTCGATCCATAGGCCATACTTTACTTACATAAATTTTGTATATAGTTTACATTACGTGTAATATAGACTATTTATATTTTTTACGCATAAACGCACAATCCTATTAGTATCGATTTTATTTTTATCGTTATCGATTGCTGATAAACAAGAGTGCCTACATTATTGATCGCGGGCATGCAAATGCGCGCGTGCGCCATACGTACTCATGGAATACGATTTCCTTTTTTTTTTTTTATTCCAAACAAACGCTCCAACGGATGCTGATACATGTTTTCGTGGGAACGCTTCGGGCTGTACGGACACGCGCGGTGTTTCGTCCGCTGCTCCTCGCGGCGATCCGCCGAATAATCGCCGAGTCGGTCCTGCCGGTCGTGATCCTGGCGTGCGTCGCGGCAGCGGAGCAACAAGTCGCCTGCTTACCGTCGTTCAGCGCGCTCGCGGCCACGGCTCCTCGTTGCGAGCGTGGACCCAACATGTCCGCTGCGACCCGGGTCGGCATTGTCTCCGGGATTCCGTACGCGTACGGCGCGATACGATGATGCGCGCGCGACGCACGCGGCCTTAGGGAGAAAACGCGATGCGTCCTCGCGCGACGTCGACGACGGCGTACGACGATCTCGCGCGCAACAACAACAACAACAACAAGAACGGCGGCGACGGTATTGGTGGCAACGGCGGCGGCGATGACGACCTCGCACGCACGACCCCGAACAACGATGACAGAACCAGAACTTTGCCGGCTCTGCGCCGAGACGAAGGAGAATCTCATCGGAATCTACGACGCCGAGGGCCAGAAGCTCGCGATCGAAGCCAAGATCGCCAAATGCCTGCAGATACAGGTAAAATAGCTGGATGAATAGTTAATAAAATGTTAACGAAATGTTTTATACGATATGTAAAGAGCAAAATGTATTTCATTCTATAGCGTGTTAGAATAATATTTCGTCCTATATATTAATTTCGTTAGAAGTATGTAAGTATTGCATGATTTCGAATCCTTGAGAAATTGTACAAATTTAAAATCATATGTTTATTGCGTACATTTGTGTTTTGTATATTCAAGGAATTCAAGCTATCTAAAATTTATTTGTTGATTTACCTGAACAGTAAATATAAATTTTCAGTGCACTTTTACCTGTAACAATAATTTGCAATTGTGCAGGTTCTAATAACAGATGGCTTGCCACTCACGATTTGTATAGACTGTTGTGATTTATTAAACCAATGCAGCGAGTTCTTTGAGAAGACCAATCAAGCACAAATATCTCTGAGACAGTTGCTGATAGATCCAAAGTCTGAACCGCAGTCGATAGAACCAAATATAGATTATGTAGAGGAGTCCATAGAGTTTTCAAAGAATGAGGTTAATAACAGGGAAGAAATAGTCCAATGCCAATTGCCTGGCAATTACATTAATGAGACAGTTAATATCTTAAATACTTCTTACTTCATTGAAGGATGTAACAAGAATGAAAATACCGAAATTCAGGAAATACAAGATAACACAAAGCAAAAGAAGTGTAAGATACAGATAAAGAAGAGCTCTCCTAAACAGGCTAAGAAAAAATTGAAAAAGAAAGGTCAGATGCAAAAAGTTGAAGAAGAGTCTGAGCTTCATATAGCTTCTCAAATTGACAAAGAACAAAACAATACTACTTTGAATGATAACATTGAAATAGTAGATAATTATATCCCAGGTAAGATTATATTTATTTATTTATTTTTTAAAACTTTTATGTAATTAATAACTATATAGATCTATTAAAAATGTAATATGAAATATATTTTTAAAGTAGAGACAGAATCAAATTTAGAAATAAGAGACACACGAACAGTGGAGACAACGAAGCATGGAAGAAAAAAGACAGAAGGTCTGGAAAGATATCCCTGGTTATGTACAGATTGCAATGACAAATTACCATCTTTAGAAGCATTAGAAGAGCATCACGAAACGGTACATAATCAACAAGCTAAATATATGTGTGTAAAATGTTGTAAGGTTTATGATAAATATTATGGATTTCTTACTCACGTTAAGAGGCATAAAAACAAAGCAAAGTTCAGGTAAGAATGATTTAATATTGCATGGGATCTTTGTATATGATTGCACATTTATTAATTATTTGATTTATTTTTAGCTGTGAAGATTGTGGGAAATCATTTGTACATAAGAAAGTATTAGACTCTCATAAGACTGTTCACAGTGAAGAACGGCCATTTGTGTGCCAAACTTGCGGTAAAGCCTTCAGACAGCAAAGTGCTTTATGTATTCATAATCGATGCCATTTACCTGAAACCATGAAGAACAGATTCCCATGTGATCAGTGTGATAAGAGGTTAATATAACTATATTACTTTTTTGAAAAATAATTTACAATTTCAGAATAATTAGAATGTGTGCTTTCCAAAACAAATCACTATTCAGCTCATACTTCATTTATTTTTTTCTACCAATTATAAATTGTCCGCTTTCATTATTAAATCATTTGTCACTCAGCATTTCAAAGAATATTTAAATTAATTGGAATTTTTTTTAGATTTTCGACAAAACCGAATCTTGTAACTCATAAACGTATTCATTCTGGCGTCAGAAATTTTACGTGTGACCAATGTGGCAAAAGTTTCATACAGAAAGGAAATTTAGAAGCCCATTTCCTAACTCATTCTCCAGATAAACCATATAATTGTTCTCAATGTACGAAGGCGTAAGTGAAAAACGTATTATTTCTTTTTCTTTACTTTTACATAGAAATAAATGAGCCTTTATTTTTACGCTCCAGAATAATAGACAGATAAAAATAATACAATAAAATTGCAGATTTAAAACACCTTTGCAATTGAAAAAGCACGAAACAGTACATACCGGTGCCAAGCCACACCAGTGTGCTGTATGTGGAAGAACTTTCAGAGAGAAAGGAACTTTGAGGGAACATCACAGAATTCATACCGGTGCGATGCCATTTACTTGTGAATTTTGTGGGAAATGCTTCCGTTTTAAAGGAATATTAACTGTAAGTCATCATTGTTAAATCTAATTGTACTTGGCTCGATTTCTATTTATAAGTCGGTGCATTAGCGTAAACTGTAGATCCCATATTCGTGGTGCGCGTATTAACGACGCGATTCCGAACGGCCATGTAGGAATTTTTCTCGGCACAGTTAGTTCAGTGCACTCTAGGCGTTTTGTCAGACCTCCGTAGAGGAGCGTCATCGCTTGTAAATATTGTCGGCCAGGATCGGGATTCGAACACGAGACTTCTGATTTACAAGTCTCGTGCTAATTCGCAGAACCATACGCGCTCACTTGGCTCGATTTGATACAATTATTTCACAATTACAGACGCACAGGCGGCAGCATACGGGAGAACGTCCGTACAGTTGCTTAGAATGCCAGCATCACTTCACAAATTGGCCGAACTACAACAAGCACATGAAACGTCGACATGGAATCAATACTTCTCATACTAAGCATCTAACCAACAATCAACAATTGCAACAGCAACAGCCGACAGAGCAAACGCAGCCGTCTCAGATACAGCAACAATCTTCTGGAGAAGATCCACTTTCTATACCTCAAACAGAATCGACGACAGTACAAGTAAATATAAATGTTTATTGTCTATGCGTATTTTTAAAATCGAAAAACAAATTAAAATACATTAAATTTAAGATGATGCAGACTTGCATGAAATTTACGAGAAAAACATAAATCCATATCGTTTAAATAATTTGTTTAATTAATTTCTGACATTACATTGAGAACATTTTTGATTGACACTAATATGAAACTTAACTTAAACTAATATGAAAACATTGCACTTTTATAGGTAATACAAGCAGTTCCTCACGTATCAGCATCACAACCGATAGTCATACAAACTATTCCAACTACTATTCAGACTTTCCAAACGGACGTCACTAACACCGTTCAGGAAACAGTATTTAGAGACCGAAACACTTATTTTAACACAGTGCCAGCATTGCAAAACTTTTTGCCAGCAAACTTGCCGTATAACTTTTACAGCATTCCTAACGTCACAGAAAATGATTTAATTCAACATAGATAAAGGTTATTATTGATACTAAGCTAAACTATGTTTTTGTTTTCAACTGATCAGAATTAAAAAATATGCGATAATATTTCATTGGCATGTTTGTAAATACATCTAATGTGAATATCACAACAAAAATATGTACAATAATTTGAATATTTCCTGGTTTTTTATTTTATTTCATGTTTATAAAAGATGAGAGGTAGAAGGGCACAAAAATATGAGAACTTAGTAAACATATAAAATGTTAGTAGTATCACTCTTTTGTATAGAACAAAACTCAGATGAAATAAGTGATTATATACATTTTATATTATACTATTATTAGTATTAATAATAGCTTATAAATTCTGTACATATATAGATATATATACTTGTTTAGCCACATTTATTATAAAATTTTGTGAATGTATCTCCTGCAAGAATTTTGTAATAAAAATATATATTATATAGTCCTAATATTCATCCATGTCATATTTGCATTCTCATTGTGACTATTTTGAATTGATTTAAATTTTTATCAACTATGTCGAAATTTTATTTTCTGTAACATGTACAGATATAAACATTTTACATAAATTACTAAACAAGGACTTGCTTCTCGACGACTAAACAGCGGGAAGTTGAAAGGATTGAAGAACATATATATTAATGCTCTTGAGAAAGGGGGAGACCTCTGGCGATCTCACAATGTCTGGTATCGCTCAATACCGTATCTACATGTCGTAATCCGATTGTACAAGTAGCTAATAGTTAGTATCTGCTTATCACGAAGCGAGGACATCAGTAACGTCTCGTTGATAACATATCTAATTTTTAATAAATTTTTGAATGGTGCTATTTTTTGCATAATAAAATAACGTATTTTTCGGAGCATATAGATTCCTACAGGAACATACTTCCCTTGGCTGTTCATCTTGTATAACCTAAGAAAATCAAGAGGCAGCTAGAATGAGTTTCCATGATGTTACGCATTGCATCTTCGACATGGACGGTTTATTGCTAGGTAAAAATCATTCGGATAATGTCCGGATAATATCTTGATTTTATGAATGATTTCTGCACTGATTAAAATTTACTGATTAAAATTATCACTGTGCAGCATGATGACATATTCTGTTAAATGATATCAACTTTTTTTAACAATCAGGACACTGAGAAATGTTTCTTTTTAAAACAGGAAAAATTTAATTTTTATATATATGTCAAATATTAACTAAAAATCGCTTAAAATAAAACTGAAATGTTCTTACGAATATAAAATTTATGTCAATTTAAAAATTATATTAATGTATCATCTATCATACATGATTTGTATCTGTCTGATTGTTCTTTTTTTTACTTCTTGATGATGTTATTGGTATTTATTCCTTACCGCAGATACTGAATCCCTATACACAATGGCATACAATCGTGTCACTCAGGAATATGGCAAGACATATGGTTGGGAGCACAAGGCGAAGATTATGGGTTTCAGAAGCGCTGAAGCTCTGCAGACTATAATAGACATGTTGCAGCTGCCAATTACAGTGCAAATGTTTGAGGATAAGTTGGCTGCTATATATCAAGAAGTATTTCCCGGATGTAATCTTATGCCAGGTAAATCAAACAACATGTTTGTATAAAAAATATTTCATATATCTTTAATATCTATTTTTACTAATATAGATTAATTTTATATTCTTTATCTTTTTTCCCATTTTTAGAATTAGAAAAATTAAAAAATAAGATAAATCGAAAATTAATATATATTAATTATATAAATATGAACATAAAATGTTTTTAAGATTCTATGAAGAATTAATTTTTGGGTAGACAAAGTAAAAATGATTCTTATCATATCACTAATATTAATAAAATGAATGTTATTTGTAGGGGCAGAAAAGCTGTTGCAGCATCTTAAAAAAAATAATGTACCTATTGCACTAGCTACAAGTTCTAGTCAGGACAGTAGTGAGTTAAAAACTCAGAAATGGAAACATATATTTGACCTGTTCAATCACAAAGTATACGGTGGTTCAGATCCGGAAGTTACCAAAGGAAAACCAAGTCCAGATATATTTTTGATTGCTGCGAAGCGTTTTCCTGATAATCCTAATCCTTCCAAGGTTTGTCTATAGATTTTAACATCCATTTTATGTATTTTTTAAAAAATTATTTATATGTATTTGTCTGTACATAGTGCTTAATCTTCGAAGATTCACCGAACGGAGTACAGGCGGCTATTAATGCTAAGATGCAGGTAGTGATGGTGCCAGATCCGCAACTTCCTAAGCATCTTACTAAAAATGCTACCCTAGTTTTGAGAAGCTTGGAAGACTTCAAACCGGAGGACTTTGGACTACCCCCATTCGTAGCATAAAACTATTTGCCTTAACTCACAAAAAAGAAGATTACGCTCGCGCGTATTAGATTCAATTTTACGTATAAATGAAGCAGATTATAATTATTGATGAAAAACAAAAACCTGCAGGCAGGTTTTCCTTAGTATTGATATAGTCTCTGACTGATGTACATAGAATTTATTTGAAGGAAAAAAAAGAAGATATAAGAGTATTATTGTTTTGGAAACATATTTTCATACGACATGAACATTCATCACTGCCTGAAATTGAAAACTTACAATTGCACATATCATGCATATAAAAGATCCCTGTGCCATATGTTCCTATGGTATCAAGTTCCAATTATAGATATATTTAGTAAACGCTTTATATTAGAATATTTATTTTTTGTTATATTATATTTTATTTTAAGGTAATCTTTGAAATATTTGTAGATATTCTGCAAAAAACAGCTGCAAAAAATTAAATATTTTTTTTGCAAAAACCAATTTAATTCTTTACACAACCTTTCACAACCCATTTTTTAATTGTTATCTAATCCAAGTACTTATATTGTGTTTTGTATGTGTGTATCACATACATACATAAAAAGAAATATCAATAATGAATTTAATCACTGACATTACATATTAAATTAATACATGTATATTTTGAAAGCTGATATATAATGTTTAAATGCAATGGTATAATTTTTTGGATATTATATGCATATTTTGCTGAATAATGTGACAAATTGATTGTTAAATATTTATATAATCATTTTAAACGTTTATATATATTTACATTTCAATAATTTCATATATTTCATACACAGCACATTCACTAATTTGACATAGTATTGGTGATCGAATTTGTTATAAGATGAATTATTGATTTCACTCAAGCATATAACTATTTTATTAAAACACTATATATATATATTACATGTACTTATTAATATAATAAAGTATATTATTTTTGAGATGCCAGTTCCTGAATCCTTCCAAGTATTTCTTCGGATTTCAGATTCGACAATGGCACACAACGTTCCACTCCATATTCTGCAAAATCATATACAGACAGTTTACAAATAAGAATTAAACAGCTGATGATTCTTATATCTCGGAGGAGAGAGAGAAAAGTAAAAAAAACAAGCAATTTGTGAAATAATTACAAAATTATATTGTACGTACCGAAACGCGCGTAGAGCTTCGGTTCGATCGATGAGCATTCCCTGATCAAAACGGGGAATCTCGGATTATTTTTCTTCAACGGTACATACTGTTGTTCAATGAAATCCCTGTAAGGTGCACAAAGTTGACGTGACTGAAAATAATTCGTATCACAGAACGTCTACGTTATCTTCACGATTTTATTTTTATTACCTAACGCCTTGACTAGATTTTGACGTTTGGCAGAGGAGGATTCTTAATTCTTTCAGGTGTTTTCCAAATTTCACAGTGGCCATTTTTCAAGTGCTAAAATCTTGGAAGAACATAAGTCACTCTCATCACAATTTCGAACAATTTTGTTTCTCGACTGATCGGATTAGGTTAGAACCCTATTATTATGTCACTTTAGCATATGCAGACTCCATTTACAAGACTGTAATGTTTCATGTGTATACGTATATTTCGAATGCTTCCATGTGATTGGCTACAAGATGGAGAATTTCTGGATATCGATAGTAATTTTTGAATCTCCAGAATTCTCTATTTAGTACCCAATCAACCTCCGACAAATTTGTATATGAAAGTCAGCCTACAATTTTAACAATTCTTGAAATTTCAGTAGATATCGCTTCTTAGCTGAATATAGATTTGTTTTTTATAGCTAAATTAGTACATTACATTCATTGTATTTAAAATGAAA